AATTTAGTATGCATGTTAATTTCAGAACAGACACCAAGGAATCTGAAAAAAGTAACACTAACATGTAAAAAAATATATTTTATGAGGTGGACTTAAGTGAGAGTGAAATACCCAAACGCCTTAACAACCCTTAAAATACATGTAGATGAAATTAATTCAGGGAAACATGGTAAATGGTTTAAAGCACAATGTGATCTGAAAGCACAATGTGATGTGAAAGCACAACATGGATCTCTGACTGCAGGTTAACATTTTGAAACGGCCATTCATTTGGGATGGTGTTCGTGTGACGCAAATAGGGGTATAGAACACAAGCCGGGCAGACATGCTGCTAATTGTGAGAATTGGGTGTGTAAGCAAGTAAGTAAAGTAAAATTTATTTATATAGCGCCTTTCTCACACAAGGCGCCATACAGGAAGGAAGAACAAACAATATAGTAAAATACATAAGACACAGGTACCCAAGGGCCACCCTAAATAAGCAAGTTGTTAGCTTACATTTAAACAGTTTGACTGATTCCACTGACCTCAGCGCCAGTGAGAGATTGTTCCATAATCTGTGAGCCACACAGGCTGAAAAGCATGATGTCCACGTGTTACCAGCCTGGTGCGTGGTATAGAGAGATGTTCCAGCTGGGCAGATGTGGGGTGGAGTGAGATCCAAAAGGAACCAGCAGCTTTCTCACTGGGGAGGGCAACCTGAAGAGCCTAAAGACCCACACACATACACGCACAGGCTATTTCTATGGGCTTTGTCATCGTAAACCTCTGCACTCTATTCCCTAAAGTGGAGGAGAAAGCTTTAATCTACATCTAAGCCTTGATGTCGGACACAGATGGCCTTCGGAGGACCCAGAGTGTGACTCTCTTCCATCTCGAGACACTGAAGTACCTCAGCCAGCCCTTTCAAATGAATTGATCTTGCTGTTTCCCTCAGGGTGGAGAGAAGTCCTGAGAAGTCTTGCAGGACCACACTGGCCTTGGTGGACCCAAGCTCATGGCCACAGAGTGCTTCAGGAAAAATGATCAATGACATTTTTTTTTTTTTATGAAAAATCTGGGAATGTCCAGGATGTCTGACATTATCATTAAAAAGTCATTGCTGCAATCTGGCCATGACAGTTTAAAGGGGGACTTAATTATATCACTTTCCAGGACATGATGGACTGTAAAAATGTACGGCTAGGAATTTTGATAACAATGGGCTCCCTGGTACCTGCTGCTGTGGTGGTGACTCACCCTCAAATGTCACCCTGGACGGGGGCTCCTACCGCTGGGGTGGAGACCTGGGGGCCGTAGCTGACCTGGGTGAACAAACAAGCCCCAGTGTAAACACAGTCACCGACAGGACAGACAGAAAGGAGATATGAGTGTCTTGTATTCTCAAGCACCACCTGTGTCAACCTCTCCCAGAACCACACTTCTGAAATGGGCTCCGTGCCGATGGCAGTGATTCGGACTTCACTGTAAGACAGGATCTCCTCTTGTCTCTTGTTGTGTTCCTCATGACCCCCATCCCAATTTTCTCCAAGCGGCCTCGTTCCTCTGAACCTCAGCAGGGATCGGACACAGTGATATTTAATTAGCGGTGGAGCGGGGGGAGGGGGAGGGGGAGGGCTGGGATTAATGAGGAGAGCCTTCTGTAGCTACCTAATTAAGCATTGACTGGAGCGAAATCCCACACACACGTACAAAAAGGGCGACACAGAGAAGAGGAGAAGGGAGAGAGAGGGAGGGAGAGACGAAGCTTGGATGGGGCAAGAGTGAGAGGTACAAGCACAGAAATGCCAGAAGCAGAGAAGAGGAAAATAGCAATGGAAAGATTAGAAGGGAGATGAAAGGGGGAAGGAAAAGAAATGAGAATGCCAAGTCTGAGCTACACCCCCCTACAGTGATCAAAAGTTTTAATGCAGAGTCCATTACGTCCACCGCTGGTTTCCATGAAGACAGCAGAACACAAAGATGGCAGACAAAGACCAGCCTGTTACGCAGTGAGCGATGCTGCTTGCAGCCTGTGTAGCTGGTTAATCCTGCATTCGGCAATAAGCCATCATTCAGTGATACTGTTGCTATGGGGTCTTTACCAGGGACTGGCGCACAACTTGGAAGCCCCCTAATTAGCACCAGGGTAACATAAATGACAGCAGTAAGCTGGCTCTCTTCCACAGTGACAGAGGTGCTCAAATGTCCTGTGCTGAGCCGCTGTTCAGCCCCAATACAGCATTAAAGAAGGGCAAAGCATACAGCTGTGTACATAACGCAAAGGGGTTATGCTGAGATTGCACTGTAACACTACAGGGGAACAAGCAAGGAACAGGTATAACCCAAAACGGAACCCAAGGACATTCGAAACATGACTTTTTTTGTGGGGCTGCATTCTGGATAAAACCCTGAATTCACTGAAAAGAAAAATCCTTTCATGATTCTATTTACACAGAAGCACTGTAGTGATTAATCCATACTACCAAGTATCTCTTTCTGATGACGTCAAATTCAATTTACTCTCTGGCAAACTTCCCAAAGTTCCCAGAGCAAATATGGACTCAACAATTAAAGTGCGGTAATCAAAACTTATAGACCAGTAAACAATGACTCAGCCGGCTCGGGGGGGGGGGGGGGGGGGGGGGGGGGGGGTCAGTGTTGTTTTAGTGAAACAGAGAAACCAACCTTTTTCTTTTTTTAATAAAAAAGGTGGCCTTTTGCAAAGGCTAGCTAAGCAATGCCAAGGCCCCTTAAGTGCAGAATCTGTTACAGAGCATTAAAATTGTAGCTGTTGAAAAGAAAAGTGAAGGAGATTATTACAGTATTTTCACGGTGCTAACAACAATATTTGCAACTTAGGCTAAGGTGATCGCCCTAATTGTAAATTCTGTAATCAGCCATTATCAGACATTTATAAGGACCAGTTTCCCCCCCAAGATAAAAAGAAGTACCATCTCTGTCTCTGTTATTCCAGACGAGAAGTAGTAAACATTTATTTGAAACCATCCTGATATTCTACATAAGGGCCCCCCCCCCAGACCAGAGCCATTCAATTTGTCAAACATGTCAAACATGAATAATTTTTTTTTTTCACATTGTCTCATTTTATTTGTATTATCATATAATTTAAATGAGTAAATTATGGCTAAATTAATTTTAATTAAAAAACAAAGCTCTACTCTCACGAATCTCTAATTATCGTGTGAGTGGGCTTCTCGTTCTGTTCCCGCTTTAATCTGCAGAGATTTGCTAAATAAATTAAATGGATATTCGTCGTTTTTTCAATAAACCCACAACTAAAACGGTGGAGGCTTCTTATTCTGGCACTTCCAATATTTATTCTACTGCCGCTAATACTGACACAGCAATCGAGTTGACTGCAAATTTATCAGGAGAGAAGATAGTGGACATCTACGCAAATCGGAAAAAGAGGCGGATTCTTCTACATTGGGTAAGATATAAGTTTTTATTCCACTCTTTGTGTAGCCTACCAGTCATTGTTCATTTTAAATTTATTTTAATTTAAGAATAAATTATATAGGCTACAAATAATTGAAAGTGGAAAATATGGTATACTGTATGTAAAAGAAAAAAAAATAAAACTGAGTTTGTGGTGTACCGGTAGGTGCCCCCCCAGGCAAAAATGTGAAACTCCGCCTATGATCTATACCCACCAAGAACCATAAACTGATGGTTAAGCTTATAAGCAGGTGAACCAGCTATGCAGGTGCTTGAATATAACAAATAGGTCCATATAGAGTTTAAATGAATGAAAAGTTCAACTAAATGTTACAACTTCAAAACAATAGCATAAATGACAGCATTTTTCCCTCCAGTGACAATCAGACCGGGGCCCAGTGAGCAGTGTCAGGACAGCCACATGCATGATATGGAGGTTACCATGGCAGCCACCATCCAGTTGTTGGACCTCTTGGGCAAGGAGGTGGAGCCAAAGGCCAGGTCAACAGAGAAGTACATCCAGGCTGAGATCAGTCTGTCTCCAGCAAAGGACAGGGACCTGCTGGGGTCTGCCCACTGCAGTACACTTGCATTTACTGCTCTATCGTCGCCATCAGTCTAACACCAAAAACTGCACTTTAGGGAGAAAGTGGAGAAAATAAGCAATGGAAATGTGTTTGTTTCAAAGTGAAATGAACTCAGCGAAACAGATGCATTTGCCTTTCTGTTCTACACAGAAGGTTTATTTTACATTGTTTTCCCAGATACATGGGTGCATGAAAAATCAGGCCCATGATCCTGTCCTGGATAAGTGGTGATCAGATGATTAGATAGATAGATGATAGATAGATGATAGATAGATGATAGATAGATAGATAGATAGATAGATAGATGATAGATAATACGTGTTGCTCATAAATGTCTCTGCTTTTTCAGCTGTTCCTTTTATTGTCACCAATGTGAAAGTGACCTGACTCTCATAATCCCAGAAGGATTATTAACAATAACCATGGAGTCACCTGGCCCATCTAAGAACCACTGATTTCCATTAGAAGTCATCCCATCTATCTAGGATGCCTCCTGGGCATTTCAGGCAAATCCCACTAGGAGGAGACCTCGGGCCAGACCCAGGACACACTGGAGAGATTATATCTCTAGGTGGGCCTGGGAACGCCTTAGTATTCCCCAGAAGGAGATGGAGGAGGTGGCCGGGGAGAGGGAGGTCTTGGGCATCCCTGCTTAGACTGGTTTTTATCACATTGTGGGGACACATATATACATATACACACACACATACACAGAGCCAGGGCTAGGAGTCAGATCCAGAACTATGGAAATGTGAAGCGATTTTTCTGCAATTTTCATGTACACAATGATGCCAGGTTTAGTGGGATTGGACTGCGGGAACAGAAACACAGAAAGTAAATGCAGACTGACGCACTTCAGCTGTTAACACAGCAATAAATGGCAGCACAGGCATTTAGAAAGCTGCCTTAAATAGATAAAGGACCATTATACAGTGATAAGGCTGCACCTACAGAATGATAGCTTCAACAAAGAACACTGACAACCCTTTCTTTATTCAGCCAAAACACTTGAAATGGAAAAAAAGAAGCATGGCTTCCTTACATTACCAGTGCCTTCCATACATTATAACAAGTAAATATTCTTTTTAAATTTACTAAAAGCACGTTGATATTTTGTTATTTATAGCAAATGAAATCGGCCACTTTACTTGAGGGGACATGAATAATGTAGTAGTATATTAATGCATCAATTAACCATTAACCAAGTGTTAGTTTCATACTGATCCCATGCATGTTCATCATTAATCAATCATGATAGTTCATGTATTCCATTCAGGTTCGTTAACAGTTAACTAATTAGGTAATAATGGTAAGACTTGAGGTGGCAAAAATTACTTAACTCATTTACTACTCAAGAATAAATCATGAACTAATATGGGTTTTCCCATGATATACATGAACTGTCATGATTTATTAATGATGAATGAACATGGGATCAGTACTGAGCAAACACTTAGTTACTGGTTAATTAATTCATTAAGCATGCGTGTAGTACTACATTATTAATATCCCCTCAAATAAAGTTACTGTAAAATCTTTAGTGTATTTTATCCTGTTTTGGTGGGGTGTCAAATCTATCAAGAGTAAAATGTAATAGGCTCCCTCACTGAAACCCAGGTCTTTCTAACACCCTACAAAGATCTTTTTTAGTTATTATTTTCAAACAACAGCAATCTAAGCAAACAGATATCACTGAACCCCTAAGCTCTACATTTTTTGCAGATTCACAGTACTGCTGGGCAGTTAAGTAATAAATGTTGTGGTTTTGTATACAGAGGTTTGTTGAGCTTATGTAGCTATTGATTTTTCTAAATAGAGAAAATCCCTTATCCCTATAATAAAAATTACAGTTCTGTAGTTTGCTTTAAAGTTTCAGACGTTTAAAATTGAGAACACAATATCAAATCAAGGTCACACAGCTTTTTGTCAGAAGCATCAATTATCTACTAATTATGCTTGGAAAAAAATTAAATGAATTGTTTTTGATTGCCATACTTTCATTCTAGTGGCACTGATACTGTTCAAAAGCCAGTTCTTATGAAAACATTCATAGTATTCAGCGCTTTCCCTGGAATGTGAAGTAACGTGAGAAATTTCATACAAAAAAACTTTAATGCCAGACCTTTTCACAGAAGAAACATTATAGCAATAAGGACACATCTCCTCTTGCACGTTCATGTACCACTATCATTTTGCGTGCTTTTGGGAAAACAACGTACATTTTGTGACCAATAAAAAATGATGGCGGATTCGATTTTCGTGTGTCCCCAATTATAAAATTTGTCCCTGATAAAAAAGAGGAAAGAAGAGGAAAATATGGTAAACGTTGTGTCCAGAACGGGGGACAGTTTTTTTCCTCAACACGGTACGATTCCGGAAAAATACGGACGCGTGCCGAATCATTCAATCCGCGGATTTCCTCCATATAGTGTTACCGCCCTCTACTGGTGGCTTCTCAGTATAACCTGTTGTAATATATTTCGGATTACTATTCGACGTACTATAAAACAAGATTCCTTTACCTCACCGCAGCATTTTTTAATCCATAAACATGTTAGGGATATTTTAGATATATTTGAGAACATCAGGAAAAAAATGTCTATATTTTTTCAATTTGGTATCATAGCCCAAAGGGTGCAGGATTTAATATGATCGTTCAGTCTCGGGGGGTGGGTAGTTGTGATGGGCTGGGTGCTGCCCTGTAGTCACTTGGTCTCTACAGTGATGGGTTTGGTTACCAGCAGGTCGCCATGGGCACCTGGCTGGGGGCTGGTGCTCTGCAGGAACTGGGCCATGGCTGGGATTTTGGAGAAGTACTTCTGGGCCAGCATGTGCTTCTGCTTAACGCTGCACATGAACACCACCCCGTATGCCTGCAGAGAGAAACCAGTGCAAGCACATTGAAGCTAATGCAGGCTATGTCAGATTAAAGAGGTGCGGTTCACTTGTGTATGACCCTGAAATCCCACCAGTATTCCTTTAAATTTCACTGAAATATGTGTTTTGAGAGGTTTCTATCGACTGTAGTCATTTTCAAACATTCATAATACTAAATTATCAATTTACTTACATGTTATGTTAGGGGAGACCATGGATGTCCTGAGGTGGGGTCGGCAATTGAGTTTCAATAATATTCATATGAAACGTCCCTTTTGTCTCTCACCATAGGAAAAACAGGGAGCTTCTGCCTGATCCTAGTTTTTTCCCTTTCCAAACCCAATGCCCGAGGCACAGAGTTGGACATTTCTGGTCCAGAAAGTAAAAATCCAAATCAAGATTTTGTTTCAACCGACCAGCTGAGCATAAAGAGTCACAATCACAAACTATTCAACTGGTTGGTTGAAACAAAATCTTGGCCTGTATTTTTACTTTCTGGATCTGAAATTTCCACCCATGCTGAGCCACAAAGGTGATATTTTCATCTTGGTTTTCCCCACTTCTTTGTAGATCCTGTTCCCAAATAAAGTCCCCCCATCTGTGTGTCATGCACTTGAAGGTCCCACAATGCACCTTTTCTGTATTACACATTACAAAACCTTCAACTGGTTGATGACAAAATGCAATATGCAGATAAAACCAGTACCAGGAAACACTGACATAACAGACAGGACTGGTGCGGCGGGCGGATCTGCACTGTGTAACACCTTCTCCAGGTGCTCCACCTTCTGATGAGCGCTGGCCTCCTCCGTGGTGAGTAGGATGCAGTTCCAGGGACTCCAGTCGCGGAGCGGCTCCCAGCGCACCATCGCCAGGTCGTGCATGTCGTCCTGCGTGCTGAGGGCTGACCGGGCCCCCCACACCACATCCACCAGGTAGCGTAGGTCCTGCTCCTGGCATCAATGGACATTGAATAATGTGCAGGCAGAGGTGGACATTTCAGGTCCAGAAAGTACAAATCCAGACCAAGATTTTGTTTCAACCAACCAGTTGAGTATAAAGAGTCACAGTCACGTAGTACTGAACTGGTTGGTTGAAACAAAATCCTGATCTAGATTTTTATTTTCTGGAGCTGAAATGGCCACCTCTGCGTACAGGAGAAGCAGATAGTACATCACAGTGTGGTCACAGTACGATGCAGTGATGCACGGGGGGCCAAGAGTTTGCTGTCATTTTCTCACCGTGTTTCTGTGGGTTTCCTCTCACAGTCTAAAAACATGCGATTCAGTGAATTGATCCCATTAAGTAACCCATGATGTCCCACTGAGCGTGAGCCGGTTTGCCAACTTTGGTCAGCTGGCTGGCGTGAGATTTTCAATTCGAGACGAGTCTGCACACACATTTACATGTATGGAACTGGTATATTACCTTTTAAATGGTCTGTAGGGTTTGTAAACTGCCCAGCGCATTGGATGTACATAATTTTAGGTTTATAATAGAATAATATAGATTTGCGTAAGATTTCTTGTGCGAGTGTGAGAGTCTGAAAGCGTGAAGGTCATGCCAGGTGAGTGAGAATCGGCCTGGATGTGCACTTGTACCTGAAGCAGGAAGGGGATCTTGGAGTCCCTGTTACGGGAGACCTCGTCCTGCTGCAGACATCTGAGGATGCTCCGGTGGAGGGAGAGGTCCACGCGGCGGCGTGCCTCATTGTCCAGCCGCGTGCACCGACGGCAGCGTCCTGCTGTGCGTGCACTGTACTCCAGCGGGAAGTCTGCGGGCGGCAGGTGGCTGCTGCAGCCTTGGCAGAAGACAAAGTCCTTCTTCATCTGAGCCAGGTCCTGCGGGACCTGCGCGGGGGGGGCAGGGATGAGTTTTACCTTCCAGATTTATTTAAGTGTTACAAAAAATGAAAGGCAGTGGCTGAAGATGTGCATACTTTCAGGAGTCTGGAAACCTCAGGGTTGAAGGCAGGAGTTTTAATATACTGGAGGAAGAGTGTTGAGATCCTCTTCCTCAGACCACCTAGGTTGGCCTCCTTAACGCCTCTCGTCAGAAGATCCGTTTCCCTGTCAATCAGCTCCACGATGTCCCGTGTCAGATTACAGTCATGCTCCTAACACAAAAAACAACATCATGTTTATCTTCTGTGATGCAATGTAAAATATGTTTCCTCATGAGATATATGAGGTTGTGAGTGTGAATCCCACTTCTGCACTGCGTGTGGAGTTTGCATGTTTTTCTCATGTTGCACAGGTCTACTCTGCCAATAGAGTATGATTGTGAGCGTGTGTGTGTGCCCTGTGATAGACTGGCATCCCATTCAGGCTGAACCCCCTCCTTGTGCCCTGTGCTGCCTGTGATAGGCTCCAGATTTCGCCATGAAGGTTTATACAAACTTAAGGAGTCTACGTCCTTATCACAGTACCTTGACTGTGTGTTTGACAGAAAGCAGTGCGTTCAGCCTCTCCTCTCTTTTCACATTCTGTACATTGACACTGCTGTACAGGTCTCTCAGCTCCTGGGCCCGGATGGTGTGCTGCGTGTCCATGAGGGTCATCCGTCCGTCAAACGCCTGCCACCTCTTGGGGGCAGCGCACTGGCACATTTGAAATAAAAAAAACAGCAGATGACCTACAGTACACTCTCAGTAAAAAATAAGAATGAAAGACTACAAAGTTTATGGAAGTAAATGGACAGAAAGGTTTTTAAGATGGAGTGGGGTCACATTCCCTCTCATCCCTCAAGAAATGCCTTAGTACCGCTAGTAGACTGTACTACTCTATAGCTGGCATCTTATACGTTCTTGTCATGTTCGAAAAGTGATGTGTAGCTCCTGCTCTAATGCTGCTTATGCCTGTACCTGGGCATTCATTGGAAGCTCAGCCTAGCTGCACCTATGCCTAGTTGACTGCTTGACTGTTGCATGTTTGCAGGCATGTACACAGGTAGTAAAATGATAAAAATCGTAAAAATAATTTCTAGGGGGGCCCCGCCCCCATCACCCCTGGTTGACAAAATCTAGTGAAGGGGACAGTCAGTAGGGTGCTTGGGCACCCCAGGAAATTTATTTCTGGCTTCTACCCTGTATGTTTGTGATGTGCAATTTGCATAATTTACACATCCCTTCGGGCTTTTCAAACTATAATTAATGGCAGAGCTTGTGTTCTAGGCAGCACTGGCAAACCTTGTCCAAGAGGGCCTGCACAGCCTTCTGCTGGTTCCTCTGTCTGGCGGCCGTGCGATGCTGCTCAACCGAAAAGAGGAACTGGGTCTCCTGGTCCAGGAGCGCACAGAGGGCGGCCTTGCGCTCCGGCCCTGAGAGTGTGGCATCGATGTGCTGCACCTCCTGCTGCCTCCACCCTACCCACAGGGAGATGGGGAATGAGGTCGCAAAGGCGCATCTTTTGCAGGGACATCTTTGCCCATTTGGAAGAGAGAAACGTACTTTCCACAGAGTAGTACAGCAGTTCAAAGTCTTCAGCGGTGGCTGGATTCATCCTCCTCTGATGCTCAGCCTTTATCTTCTCCTCCTTCTCTAGCTTTCGCCTCACCTCCTCTTTCTTCACCCAGTCCTGATGGTGTTCCTTCTCACGTCGGAGCTGGTCTGTGAAACGCTTCGCCTGCCAGCGTCTCACGTGCTTCTGCAGAACCACAACCTGAGGAACGAGATACAAGCAAATTGAGTTTTTCTGGGAATACAGTGACGTTTGCACACTTTCAGGGAGCAATACACAGGTTTGCTTTACCGCTTTCAGTCTCCTGCTGTGGTATTCATCGGCAGTGATGTAAACTCCAGGTGAAATGAGTTTGTCCTCCATGTTGGACATATAGCAGCCAATTTTGGTCATTTGTGTTGATGTGTTGTTGAAGCATTGCTGAGACTGACTCTTTGTCTCCACTGTCTGAATTTGGGGAAAAAAAACAAGATTTGTTGCATGTACTCTGAACAAATAGCTCTGAAAGACTAAATACTGAAAAAGTCAGAATACAAATTTAACATAATCTCTCTAATAGCATGTTTGCTTTGCACTCCCGTCAGATGAAGCTAATTCCTTTTCCTGGGATGTGACCCAGGAAGTTCTAAGGTCCATATCCTGGCATTGACTCCCACTCTTCTGGATCTGGATGTATGCTGATCTTAGGTACCTGTGTGTCACGACAGAAGGTCTCCACCCCCCGGTCCGGCCTTTGCCTGGGCAGAGTCTGCACTGCAGCGTGATGGAAGACTGTCCCTGTGATGCGATGCCGGTACCCTCCCACAAAGGCCTTCCTGTGTGGCGCTCGCACTATTTCCACCACCACGTCCTGATAGGCCACCAGGTCTGTGTCTGCATGTGGACGGCCAACAGGTCAAAACTCAGTGTGTTGCAGAGGTACCAGAACTTCCCTTCATGGATCCTGGAAAGAATTTTTTTACCCTTACGTGAAATCCTGCATCATACTCAATGTTTATTTTTGCTACCCCCTGAGCCACTGTGAGATAGGGCACTTTTGACAGTATTTACATCCCAGCTGACCTTTTTGGACCCTGACGGTAATGACATCGGACATGCTGTACTCTGGCTGGGGTTTGAGAGGCCGTATTGGGTGTTTTTCAGGGTCAATGGAAGACATCTCCAGCTGAATAGTACCATGAGGCTGGGCACCCAAGCTAATGAGAGTTTTGTTATTTTCAGTGATGCCACCTGCAGGCAAATACAACCAATTTTAGTGTAATACCAAATACCAGTCGGATTAAATTTGGCATGAAAAATCACTGAGGACTTACATAAGACTTACCATTAAGTAAAATTTGGATGACATCAGGTGGCACTTTAAGTTCATTTGAAAAATGCTCCTTGAGGTCCTGAATGGTGAGCCCAATAGCAAAAGCTATGGTCATCATATGCCCATCTGGCAGGAACATTATCTTCACTTGATGAACAAGACAAAATACACTATTACAAACACTTTTAAGACATCTAAAACGTCAGTAAATGAACACTAATATAAAAAATTCAAATAGATGTTCTGAACACTTTACTATATTGTCATTCAGATACTGGAGTGGAAAGAAATGTAAGCTCCGTTTTACGTCAGCTTAGAAATTCTTCTAGTACATATATTTTAACGTCTTGAATTTCACATTAACTGCAGCTGGTTCTGTGGTGACTACGAAAAGGGGATTGCCAACCAATTACCCGTGGCGGTTGTGTTTCCCACATCAGTAAACAGTGTAGCCTCGTCGTTCAGCATACGGTCTTGCTGATCGGGATCGAGCCGTTCTTTCTGCTCCTCCTCCAGCGTTTGGGATGGTTTATCCACGACACTGTCCACCTCAACAGACGCCAAAACAGAAGCCGATACCTGCACACATTGCAAAGGATCCCCGTCCCCTGCTTTATCATTAAAGTCTGCCACGGGCTCGAATGTCTCATTTTGTATCTGCGAAGTCAGCTTTGTTTTATCTTGATCTTCGCTTCTCCCACGATTTTCCATGTTTTCATCCATGTTAATTTCTCCTTTGCGCTGTGAAATTTCACTGTCTTGTCGGATCTTGACTGATATTTCAGTTTATTAGCTGCGGTTTAAAATCACAAAGGAACTGAAAACAAAAATAAAATGCGTTTTATGTAATTGTATTTACTGCAAATGTAGTATATTTACACAGGATACGGACTTATACTCTCCGTGTTGTATATCAAGCTTAGCTTTCCCATTAGAACGAATCCACAGCATGTTTGGCCGCTGCCATGGAAACAAACAGCTGACCGGAAGAGCCCGCGCGATTCAAGGAGCCAGAGAGTCCAAGGCAGCCTGAATCAATCCACCGTGTACTCAATGCATCTTCATCAGGCGTGTTTTACGACTTTTCAGTAGCACCTTTCAAACTTGTATTTTAAACAGCAAGGTAAATAAGATTACAAAATTCAGAAGTGCAAAAAAGGGTAACGTATGTCAGGTAGACGTGTGTCTCATGACACATTTTAATGCTACATAAACAGTATAAAGGAAGACCAGCAAGACAAGGCGCAGGTACAGTCTTTAAATCTTTATTAATATTTACATGCTTCGATGCACGTGGAAACTGGAATACACTTGCATCAAGACAAAACAAACCTGACCAATACGAATAGTTGGTTTAGATATTTAACAATATCAATAATCCATGTTTTAAATGGGCCATTTCCATTGGTTGGCAGGAGGTTCCTCAATCAGTGGCTCCCATGGTTTCCATTCTGTCATCTTTCTGGAGAGAGTCAGCTCACTCTCTGCCTGCAAAGTAACACATTTATGTAGACTGGCACTAGGCTTAGCACACCGACAGGCCAACTGTAGTCAAAATAGAAGCTTTTTAAACAAGAAGTTGCTAAGTTGTACGTGGGTGGGTTAACTTACACTAAAATACAATTAGCCGAGTAAGAAATAGTGATTAATGGACATCTTGAACAGCAAGTAAACAATAAAGACTCTAATGAGTACAGAATTAATTCTAAACATCTTACCACATTAATTCTAAATTCTGTTATATTTTATTGTATATCATTCATATGCATTCATTCTTTTATGTATGTGCAAAATCCTGTAAATTCAAAGTGCTGGTTATTGGGCGATCAAATTACCACCACACCTGCAAAATGACTTCTTCAATTTGTCCACAGTTGATTTTCTTTTCTAACTTCTCTACATCGGGCTCCTACAGTAATGGACACAAGTGAAATTAAATACATATGGTCTAATAAGGCTTTCCTTTTTCCAGTTCTCATAGTCCTACACAGTACAGAATGCATTTTATGCTCTACAGCCACCTGGCCAAAAAAAGAGTAAATGTCCTATCTGTAGATATTACCATCTTGACATGGTTGAACCTTTCATTGATTATCGGCTCCGTGTATCGCCTGTATGCAGCGTCCTGAGGCATTGTCTGAAGTGACCCCAGAATCTTGGTGTACAGAATCCGAAGCCGCTAGAACGAGAGAGGTATACTGTGTACATGCAAAATTACATATAATGGAGAAAAAACGCATAAAACAGCCACAATACAACCATTAAGCAGCATTGTGCAATTTATTCATTGTTCCTCATGTGAATTACAAATAAACGATTGTAAAGAATACTTAAAGAACAGCCAGTCAATGGCTGATAGAACTTGGCCAGTCCAATTCAATACGCTGCAAGAGCATAAGTGGCCACTGAAAAATTAAAAGTGGCCATTGAAAAAAATTAAATACCTAATATTTACAGAAAACAAAACTAACTTCACTGAATCCGTTTAGAGAACAATTGCGCATTAATCGGTAATGTATGTAACCTACCTCATGTGAATTTTGAGATACAGCCAGTCCCACCAAGCCAGTGGTCTGTGAAATCAAGTTACTACCGTCATTTGCTACGTTTTATTAAAAGTTATGGTAACCGTTAACAACATTTATATTTTTAGAAAACATACAACACCGCATTGAGTCAACTAATATCTAGGTTCATCTATATATGCGTTACGTCCCCTAAAATTCAAATAACAGTTTTTTTTAATAATATCTTGAGCAGCTATTTAGCTCGGAACCAAAATAATAAAAACAAAAAGCAACATTAGCGTCGTAGCAAAACGTCCCAACTTTATTTTGAGGTAAGGTGACTATGAGCAGTTAACAGATTTTTATTCCATAACGATCACAAAGACTGACAAATACCTTCTACAGATCTAGCCTGATAGCTAATTGTACAGTCACAGTCACCACGCTAAATTACCTATACAAAAATAGTAGCAGTCACGTTGAAAATGGCGAATAAAAGATCAATGTACCTGTGTACATTTGATTAATACAAAGAAAATCCATTACATGTAAAATTATAACAAAATATGACCTCCAACATTACCTTTTTCAACAAGCCAGCCATGATTACACGCAAAGCCCGCTGGTACTGCGAGACATAATAGATCGGAGATTCATCGAACGTGCTGCACATTCAAGCCCTATTAATCGAGCAGCGTATTAATCGAACGTCTGTTTGGTTTTGGATTCCAAACGAAGTTACTCGCGTGGCTTCAAGCAGTACATTCACATATACATATACAATAAACTTCGTGATTTACATTAGTGCTGAAAGAAACTATGATGTTTTTGAATTTCATGTTGATTTTTTTTTTTATGTGTCTTTTTGAACTGATTCTTACAAAGAGAAGTATTTGCTAGACAACGCCATGTGTTTTCGGTTTTGAAGTTATTGCACGTATAACCGAACAGCTGTAAAACGCACTATATTGTTATGCGATGTTTTGGTTTCATACTGTCAAGCCTCGACCTCTCTCAAATACCGCTCATTATTATTACTGTATAAAATCATTAGAACATTAGATACTTTCGATTGCAAACTGAATCATTAGAGTCACGGTAATTCCGGATGCAGTTCATGCAAGAGCAGTATTGCCCGGACTGCATTTTAAATTCCATCTGCAGCTCGAATGAAATAAGGTCACGTTTAAAAATAACCACAGAGCCGTGTCCAGTTTTGAGGCCGTACAGCAAACACTGCCCGGCGTAAGACCCTGTGACACACGTACGTTGCAGAGGTGAGACAGTTGTTTGTTTTTTGTTAACATTTTAAACAAATACACAAATTAAAATATGGGTTTTTAAAATTATGCATTGAACTGCGTTCAGCTATATATTGTTAATATTATGCTTGTATATTTTCCCTTCAAGTCATGGATGCCGATGAAGATGTAGATAACCAGCTTATGGACTATGTAATTCAAATGAGTGTTCAAGACTGTAACAGACATCTTTTAAGTTCATTAGAAAGGTATGGACACGAGTTGGGGGTACAACATATTTCCTTATTTACTCTTGAAATATTATATATAACTTCTTTGTGAAATTTCTCTTTCAAATGGTATGTTTCTTTTTCATTTTAACAGTTTAGAACTTGCCAGTCACGAATATCTAAAGATCTTGGCAGCCATTGAACATGGTACTTATTTTCATATATAAAATAATTTTTATGTATTTACTTTGTGAAGTTCTGTACAGTTACCATTTCAAAATCCCTTCAAAGTTTCATAAAACCAGATGATGGTTAATAACACACGCAATGTCATCAGTCTACCCTCTGAGTTACTACATGTATGAATCATTAATCACGTAACACGTTATAACCCACTCCGCTGACTCACTGATCCAGGAGATCTGCTCTCTCTTGAGCGGCTGTCGGAGTGCACAGCTGCGTTCAGGGAGGTGGACGGCGTCGGTTGGCTCCCTCTCCACAAGGCCGCTGTCCAGCCCAGGTTGGAGGTTCTGCGGATGGTGCTGTTTGGTGAGTCTCCGAGGCGCTTCAAGCTTAGTACGACTTAAAAGCAATCATGTAATGAAACCATTTGACAATATGGAGGGCTAAGTATGGCGCCTGTTTGTGGCCTGACAGCTTCCTATGAGTTAACTCTAGAGGAGAAAACAGCGGAGGGCGAGACAGCGGTGACACTGGCGGTTCAGGCGGGACAGGTGGAGAATGTCAGCTTCCTTCTGAAGCAGGGAGCATCTCCAAATAATGCCAACAGCAGGAATGAAACTCCACTCCTGCTGGGTAACAGTAGTTATACTGCAAAACACCAAATCACTCCGTAACTCCCTGATGACACATCAGCACTGAGATGCTCACAACATTAAATATACGGAACATGACTGAGTTGAACCTGATTAAGTTAAATGCAATGTTTTGTTCTATGTAGCTGTGAGAACACGCTCATATGAAATGGTGTCTGCTCTCATCATGGCTGGGGCCTTTGTGGAACAGACCTGCCTGAAGAACTGGACCGCCGTGCACGAAGCTGCCAAGATGGGCTGCAGCAGCATCATGCTGCTGTTGCTAAGAAACGGGGGCAGAGTTGCAGAGAGAGATCGACATGGAGTGACCCCACTAGGCATTGCAGCAGAATATGCCAAAGTGGACGTTCTAGAGGTTCTTATTAAAAATGGTAAGAGTTAGTGCTTTTGGAATGTTTGGCTTTCATGTGCATGGCAACGCCCATGATGAAAAACATTCCCTTGTTTCCCTAAAGGTGGCGATGTGAATGCACAGGCTGCGAATGGAGACAGTGTGCTGTATGACGCCGCAGGCTCCGGAAATCCTGACTGCATTGATCTTCTCTTGCAATACGGGGCAAACCCCAACGTAGCCAGTCTGTGTGGCCACCTTCCCATTCACCGAGCAGCTTACGAGGGCCACTATCCGTGAGTGTTGGTGCCTTTTTCGTATGACGGCACTAATGTACAATACTGTGCAGGTCTTAGGCAGTCGAAGTTTAAAGCTATTTATCTGGGTAGTAAGTGTATGTTTGCTCAGGGAAAAAACAATTGAACATTAGAAAATATGCTAAATAAGAGTAACATGACAAAAACTAACAAGAATTTCTTCTGTTCTCCAAAATGTAATCTTCCTGGATGGCTAGATGAACACGGCTTCAATTCCGAAACCTCTCCCCTGGGACGCCTCAGCAGTTCTGTGTATTCATTCAATTTCACCACCAGCTCATTTAATTAATGAATTTAATTAGTGTAAAAAATCAATATTGGTATTAATTAGTCATATGAGATGTGCTAGTGATCTAGTCAAGAAATACATGGGTGTGTCTGATGGTCGCTGCAAAAAGTGGCGTGACATTAGGAGAGGTTTTGAAATGTTAACACACTTCGAGAGACATAGTATCATAGTTTGACATCAACATGAATATCATTTAAATATTATCTTCTTTGACTGTCTAAGACACAGTACTGTATGCCTTGTACCAGTGTTTCCCAACCCAGTCCTCGGGGAACCCCAGACACTCCACGTTTTCGCTCCCTCCCAGCTCCCAGCCAATCAGGAACACCGACTACCTGGTGTGCTGGGAGATAAGGGGAAGCAAAAATGTGGACTGTCCGGGGTTCCCCGAGGACTGGGTTGGGAAACACTGCCTTATACTATATTGACTAAAGGAAAGCTGATATTTCCTGACTGCTCTGTTAATGGGGGATATTTATGCTTACTGACCTGGTGTTGTTGTTAAGACTTCATTTATGTCACAACATCAGGGCTCTGAAGAAGTTTATTCCGATCACCACCAAAAGAGCCATTCGTCTGTCTGGACAAAGTCCTGTTCACTCAGCAGCAGATGGGGGCCATGTGCAGTGTCTTCAGCTGCTCATTGACCATGGCTTCAACGTCAACGCGCTCCTGGAGAAACACATCTCGGAGAATTACGGGGACTTGAGAAGAACACCCCTGTACTATGCTGTCTCTAACGGGGACATCACCTGCACGGAGATCCTGCTCAATGCCGGCGCAAACCCTGACAGTGATCCTCTGCGCTGCCTCCTAGTGGCCGTCAGGGCTGGGAGGTACGAGATAGTGAGGCTGCTTCTGGCCAATCAGGCGGACGTGAACTGCTACTTCACGGTGGTCAGCGATACGGTGTTCCCCACGGCCCTGCAGTACTGCCTGAGGGACGAGATGATGATGCGTTTGCTCCTGAACAATGGCTACGACGCCTACAGGTGCTTCTGCTGTAACCATGACTGCAGCTGGGAATCACGCTTACCGTGGCAAGATGACCAGCCGTGTGATATATCACACCTGCAAGAGAAGATTCCTGTGAGTTGTCTGGTTCAATGCAATGTCAGTTGTTAACCCATCCAGAACATGTTACAGTAAATAACTAATTTTGCTAGTGTTTCTAAGCCATTTTTGGGTTTCTCTTGGCTGCTGGTTTCTGTGTTCTGTAGTTCTGTGACTTCATCAACTCATCCTGGCTGAAGGACGTGGCAGGAAAAGTGGTCAGGATTCTTGTGGACTACGTCAGTCATGTGACCATCTGCTCAAAACTGAAACTGATACTGGAAAAGCAGAGGGAGTGGCCTGAAATCTGTGACATACTGGGTGAGTTAAAACAGAGTAATAAGCCAAACCGGTTACACCTGTTGAAATAACAGCTATATGCCCACTCATTCTCAACCGGAACACAGGGAACCCACGACCGCTGATGCACTTGTGCAGACTGGTGATCCGAAGACAAGTGACCCTGAGGAGACTCTGTCACCTGGACAGCTGGAATGATGTCCCGTTTCCACTGCGAGTCGTGGACTACCTGCTGTACAAGGAACATGATCTCTTCAGCACAATCATAGGCCAAAAAGAGTGAAGAATCTGCATTAAAAGTGTTTGTGTCTTGAAATCTGGTTGGTTGCACTTACATGCAACAGTAGTCTCTCCCATCTGTAAATATTTTCCCTGTTTTATAAATTATGTTTACCATCTATTTATATAATTTATTTTTACTTGGAAATTTGCATTCATTTTGTTGTTTCAATTATGTGAGACTATGAACAGCTCCACAATGTTGTATTTTGTCTCTAATGCAAATAAAGAAAACAAATTATCGTTTTCAATTCGCTTAAAAAAATATTATGAGTCAGTACTATTGTGCATGGTCAACTATGCTCATTTGACACCAAAACAAACTGCAAGTTTATGAGCTGTGTTCACAGTCTGCGGTTGCATGACAAGCAGGTCACATCTAAATATAAATGAGTTCGGTTTACAAAGCACAACACCAGATCCAGCCTGACTGCGTAAGAGCTGCATCTGCACTGTGAGACTCCATAACACCTGACATTATACAACGCAGTTAGCGGAAAGTCTCTGGTGCATAAGCTTAGTGAACCAAGTCAGTTGAAAAGGGTAAGTTTTCAAGGATCTACTCAAAGTATGATCCTTATTCTCTCATAAACTTTGAATAGGTACCTAATTTAGCATGATGCTTTGTGTTTTCTCCAGTACAGTCCTCTTCAAATCGTTTGAGACTCAAACTGGCAGGTTGGGTTACTTTCAGAGAAAACAAAATGCATTTGTCATGGTTAAATGTTTCACCCGCAAGATATTTCATATGTTCTCTGACTCTGGTTTCTGTAGATCTGCCGTGTGTAGCTGAGACATACTGATTTTTTCTTTCTATTACTCATTTTAAGGTCATGGATAGTATTGATGAAATGGATGAAGACCAGCTCATTGAATATGCAATTCAGTTGAGTGTGCAGGAGACGTGCAAACAGCCAGCCTCAGTACAAACACCACGGTACGTACCATGCATCCCTCAATCCAATTACTCTTTTCATTCATCTTTCCATCTTCCATAACTGTTCATCGAATGCAAGGTCACAGTGACTGTTGTATGTGTTTGGATTACAATGCACTGTTTAAATTCAAATTCTAAATAGTAATTTCATGACATTTTGCGTTCTAAATTCCATGGGTTTTTCAATAGTTTCATAATATTGATATCCTCTTGATCAGTGCTCAGTACTATCAAACATCTCATATTTTCCTTTGAAAAGCTTACAGACAACAACAAGTGACACATATTTCAAAATCATTACTGCCATTGAGAAAGGTAAGATGTGTTTTTCTTGCCACGTTATCACTGCTAGATGTGAATGTCGCTCACTCTAAATCAGGGCTGTTCAAATCACGGTCCTCAAGGGCCCAGAACTGCTTATTTAACAGCCTTCCTTTACCCAGGAACCAGGTATAATGCAGCTGTGGCCAATCAGAGTCAGTAATTAATAAATTAACTACATGGGAGAACTGAAAACAAGGCCTGGATTTGGAATCGAGGTCCAGATTTGAAGAACCCTGCTCTAAACAAATACGCAGGGTAATTATCTGAGTTATGAATCCTTGAAGGGCATTCATATCGTCAGACTGCCCTTTATCTACAGGTGATGAATTCACCCTGCAGGAGCTCTCCAAGTTCACAGCTGCCTTCAGCGAGGTGGACGGGTCTGGGTGTTTGCCTCTTCACAAGGCCGCCATCCAGCCCAATCTCCGGGTGCTGTGGACAGTGCTGAATGGTGAGACCAGTGCATTCCCACATTGTAACAAATCTGTCATAGTCACCAGTGCGGCCAATGAGCTTTAAAAAAGGGAGAACCGGACAGAGCGAAGAGGCCGGAGCAGCACACGCTCAGGTTCTCGTGAGTGTTAAGTGAAGGAGCTCCAGCGCCATGTGGCCTCACCCTGCCGCTCTGCTTTGTGGGCTGTCAGCTTCATACAAGCTGACCTTGGAGGAGATGACGGTGGAGGGAGAGACGGCTCTGACGCTGGCCGTCCAGGCAGGACTCTTGGAGAACATGACAGTCCTACTGGAGCACGGAGCATCACCACACAACACCAACAGCATGAATGAGTCTCCACTCCTGCTAGGTGATGATGGCGGACTCACGGATTCCTGCCCATTAACGGCGTCCTTACTGAGCTCTGTTTGCCTGTGTGGCAGAGCCTGGGCTGGGATGGTGCTTTAGAACACACTGTGGTTCTCACTGAAATACACACAGTGGTATGAGTAGTTGTCTTTCCCACATTTATGAGTCAGTTTTTAATGTAAATAGAACTGTAATTAATGCTTGAAGATATTTGCCACAGTTATTGGCCCAAATATAAGACAACCCCCTATTTTTCAGCAAATATTATGGAAAAAAAAATGTTGGGATACAAAATATTACCTTCATAAAGAAAAATAATTTTATTTGAGAAGAACATATAAGTTTAGCAGCAAAAAAAAGGTCAAAAAGCAACCACTGGCAATCGAATTACAATGTTTATAAACAGCAAACATTTGAAGGTTTTTCAGAATGTCTTCTTTGCAGCAGATCTGCATGAAAAGGGTACAAAACGTATTGCGGAGAAAAGTTGAGCAATATTAATAAATGATATGACATCTCATCTCAGCCACTACCGGTTTAATATTAGGAGCTGCACATTCAAGGAAGCCAACAGTTTACACGACACGCAGGGATGCACACTAAACACGCATTCCACGGCAAACATCATACAGTTCTGAAATTTACTATTAACATAAGCACACGTGTACACATTAATTTAGACTATTTACAGACGTGCGAGGTGCAAAGCATGCCCATAACTACATATAGTGCCGCGTCACATTACGGCAGCCAATCGGAGACAGCGGATGGGATCACTGCTAAAAGAACGTCGATTTCGTCAATTACATTTGAAGGACAGTATGTGGCCACATTAAACCTGAAGGCTGATAAATCGCGCCATCTACTGGTGTATGTCTATAATGACATTTAAATTTTAGTCCCCAAATATATGATGACCCCAGTTTTTTAGATCTTATTTTTGTGGTGAAAAAATCACCGTCTTATATTCGGAGCAATACGGTAATTACTGGTCAGTGAAAATTTTAAGACTAAATAAATAAAGAGACATATTCTGTTCCATACAGCTGTGAGAATCGGGTCCCACGAAATGGTTTCCACCCTACTCAGAAACAACGCCCTTGTGGATCAGATCTGCCTGAAGAAGTGGACCGCCATGCATGAAGCAGCCAAGGTGGGCTGCAGTGATATCATGATGCTGTTGATTAAGAACGGGGCCAACATCATGCAAACGAATGGCCATGGGGTGAGCCCCCTGGGGGTAGCAGCAGAGTACGGCCATGCCGAGGTGCTGGAGATCCTCATCCACAAAGGTAACCACCCTATCACCAGACTCATCCTCAGATGCCTGCCTTTTATGGCATCATCAAAAATGCTGTGCTCACTGATTCAGAAGCGCATAAATGTCAGCTTGCAGCTCTTGACTTCTTCCCTTCACCTCCTCTGTGGTTGAATGCAAGACAATTTAAACCCAGATGTTGGGTCATGGGCTGCTGTTTCTCTACATGAAAAACGAGGCACACGTATGGAGGCTATAACACAGGTCTTTAAGGGACGGCCATTCAAAGCGCGAGACATCAAAGCAATTCCAGATCAGCTACTGCCATTGTTTTTACTAAATTCCACCAGGTGCTGATGTGAATGCGCGGGCCTACAACGGAGAGACTGTTCTGTATGATGCTGCTGGGTCAGGGAATCCAGACTGCATCAGGCTTCTCGTGCAGTATGGAGCTGATCCCGACGCAGCTAGTGTGAGCGGACACCTCCCCATCCACCGGGCAGCTTACCAGGGACACTACCTGTGAGTTTTTATGGCAGTAGAGCCCTGAATATGTCAAATTCAGGTAAACTCTAGTTTTTGGGGGTCCATTGCTTTGTGGTCACCTAAATAATTTAAAGAGTATTATTTAGAGTATTATTATAAATACTTAGTAGTATAAATATTTTAAAGAGTATTGTTTAGATTCAAGATTCAATTCAACTAACAGGCGAACTCTGGATTTGCAATAATCCTTCCTGGGGAATTGTTAACAAATCACCAAAATGTCTTTCATTGAATTCACAGGGCTCTACAGATCCTGATTCAAATAACCTCTAGATTCGCTATTATGGACTGCGGCCAGAGTCCTGTTCATTCAGCAGCAGATGGAGGCCATGTGCAGTGTCTTCAGCTGCTCATTGAGAATGGTTTCAACGTCAACACGCTCCTGGAAAAACATGTCTCAGAGAACTATGGGGACATGAGGAGAAGTCCACTGTACTTTGCCGTCTCTAACGGGGACGTTACCTGCATTGAGATGCTGCTCAATGCTGGCGCAGAATCTGACCATGACCCCCTGCGCTGCCTCTTAGTGGCTGTCCGGGCTGGGAGGTATGAGATTGTGAAGCTGCTCCTAGCCAATCAGGCGGACGTGAACTGCTACTTCACGGTGGTCAGCAACACAGTTTTCCCCACGGCCCTGCAGTACTGCCTGAGGGATGAGATGATGATGCGTTTGCTCCTGAACAATGGCTACGACGCCTACAGGTGCTTCTGCTGTAACCATGATAACAGCTGGGATATGTACATTCCCTGGAGCTATGTCTCGTCCTATCAGATATACCGCTCCAACGACAAAATGCCTGTGAGTGTTTAATATTATGTTGACAGAGCTTTTACAATGATTCAATTCAATTCAATTCAATTTTATTTATATAGCGCTTTTAACAACAGTCATTGTCACAAAGCACTTTACATATAACTAGCCTGAACCCTCACCAAGCAAGCCTGAGGCGACAGTGGCAAGGAAAAACTCCCTCTAGCAGGAAGAAACCTTGAGAGGAACCTAGACTGGGAAGGGGACCCCATCCTCCTCTGGGCGACCATGACCATTCAGGGAAGTAGAGGCAGTCTCCAGGTTATGAACCAGATCTGTTCCCTAAGTATGTCTTTAAGTCGAAATTGTAGGTAAGACAGAAAAATAATAATACAGTACATAATAACAGTAATAATAATTAGTATACAGTAATATTAAAAGTAACTACACATGCCACAAAGTTGTGCGTGCATTCCATGAACCATTGTATTTAACCTGAATTTTTAATAGAATAGGCTTTCTGGCAGTTCATTTACTAGTATGAGTTGTCCTGTAAGTTGGATGCTCTTAACCTGGGGACTGCCTGTACTGTTGCTTTATGTTGCTATTTACCAAATTGCGCATAGGTTCTGTCCCAGTCTGCACATGCCCAGCCATCCTACCCACTGACCCTCTCAAAGCTGAGGGCACCTTCAGACACTGAGGAGGAGCCTGACAAGATGACTGGGCCATTTTATAGGGGATTTACACTATATGGTTTACAGAAAGACCCGGACTGATGGAACATGAGAAACATGATTGAATCCTTTCTTTGCCATCTGCACACGCACATGGGAATGCTTCTCTTTGCTCTCCATGAAACACCCAGGCAGACATGCAGGTGAGAGCAGGCTTGGGGGTCACAGTGCACGGTGCCCCTGAAGCTGGGGGTTATGGGCTTTGGTCAAGGGCTCATGTGCATGTGACCGTTCTTCCAACAGTGGGGTGATTTTTCCTGTTACAGGTAGCCCATCCATGTGTTTATTTATAAGACATTCTCTGGCTTCTAGTGACTATAGAAGATAGACCTAATGGGCAACAATTGTATACACCCATGTCTTATTATTTATACAACCATATCTTATTATTAGAGACAAAAAATGGATGTTGGGAGTGTGGATCTTTTCCACCTTCAGTGGAGTCAAAAACAAATTTTGCATAATACATGCAAAAATTGGGGCGCAGAACAGAGTCTTGCTGAAACTTAAATATCTTCACAAATTTTCCAATAGATTAAGTAACATGTTTGTCTTAATGGTTTTCTAGTTCTGTGACTTCATCAGCTCAGCCTCGCTGAAGGACGTGGCAGGAAAAGTGGTCAGGATTCTTGTGGACTACGTCAGTCATGTGACCATCTGCTCAAAACTGAAACTGTTCCTGGAAAAGCAGAGGGAGTGGCCTGAAATCTGTGACATACTGGGTCAGTTAAATCCGCAACACTGCAGCTGTGAGTGTGCTTGGCGCTTTGAGTGAAATGTTGCACTTTTTCACGCTTTCCCCCAGGGAACCCGCGATCGCTGAAGCACCTATGCAGACTGCAGATCCGTGAGCAGATGACCATGACGAGGCTGTGTGATCCCAGCATCATGAACGCTGCCCCATTTCCACCCAGACTCAAGCACTACCTGCTGTACAATGAGTATGATCTCTACAGCAGAATCTCCAGCTCAAACACATGAAACTTGCACAAAAAACTAAGCTAAATATGAAGCCTGCACTGCATGTTGACCTAGACTGCACAGTTTATTACTAGCAAAATTATAGCAATATTTTTTAATGTTTCTTGATTTTAAGCAGCCCTTTTTGCTTCCTTATTTCTGTATGAGAAATTTTACTTTCAGTTTTACTGAAACCCAGCTAGGTGGATTGGGAGGATGACGAATGTGAATTTTAAGTTATGTTTTGTTTCAGACAGAAATAACAAACCCAGCCCTGGTTCCTCTAGCTTCTTTTGTTATCAGTCATCAGCTCATTTAAATCTCTTGCACCCACTTTTGGTTCAGAAATTAAAGACTTCAAAGCTCACAAGGTTCAGAATATGCATACAAGATAGCAAAGGATGTATCCTAATTTTGATATTTTTGTCCGATATCATGAATATATTCTTTGGCTCCTCCCAACCAAATTCCCCCTCCCTTTTGGGCTGAGAGCTCAATAACAGGTACAGAATTTGGGGGATTCTCAACTCTGGGGTAGTAAAAAGCATTAAGTGCTTCATTAAAAGCCACCTCTATACTGTAATAGATTGCAGCATGGTCTGAGTGGGCAACATGGGCCCCATGAAAGCATATGCAGGACCCCAAACCAGACCAACCCTGCCCTGTGTCATTGCCAAAACCACACACCCCCACCCCGAAATCCTTATGGCCCATTCAACGATTTAATAACTATGATTATTTTATTGATTTTACCTTCATAGCTTGGTAGCTTTGGTATATACTTCATGTATATACATACTCTATATTACAGACTAAGAGCTATGAAAGTGTGTTTATCACTGATAAAACATACATTGTGTCCCATTAACATTTTGCATGACAGTCCAGGGCAGAACTGATTTGGATAGCGAGCGTGAATTATATCAGCTTTCTCTAAGTTCAAGTTAATTTTCTGACAAAGCAGCAGTTTCATGAGGAGATAATGATGAGTTAGGAAACACGTTTTATTATATAATTATTTCTTGGAATAGCAAGCTAATTTAAGTAATCTTTCTGTAGCTATAGAATTAGAAGTGATCGATTCATTTGCATCACATGGAGACGAAGTTTGGATACAGTAACGTAAATAAACTGATCTTTTGCTGAGAAAACCTGAGTCAGCAGTTGTTGCCCTTTCTTTTCTCTTTCAGCTGTTTAGTAGTCTTAATTTTCTTTTCTGATAACCAGATTTGAACTTCGTCATTTCGTGCACACACTGCGAATGGCCCTGACTCCTTCAAACGTAGGCTGGCTTGCTGATATTGGCAAAGCAGTGTATCATGAGGGAAAAGGCAGGGAGGGTAGAATCATTACAGAGGAGTACAGATGATGTCTGATTTGCTTCTTTTTTGCCAAAAAAGGAAAACAAAATATAATTACCAAAAAGTAATTAGCAATGAACAAAACAACATATTTTGTGAATTGTAATTTAATTGTACAATAGAAGGTTATAAAATAATGTTCCAGATTTTTAGGGCCCCTCTAATTCAGGGTCCTTGGAATCACCCTAACTGCCCCCCCCCCCCATTCTTTGGACAATCAAAGTGTCCTAGTTCCTCCCATCCCCACCCTGAGGCTGACAGGCTGGACCAAGGACACAAAGTGAGCTCACATTATTTTAATAAGTACATCTTGTTAATTCTTGCTTCCCAAAAACATTAGATATGTTGACTGTCTGTCCACTCATTTCCTGTAAGGCTGCTTGGGGCATCCACTGTGCACTGGGATTCAAAGAGGTGTAACCAGAGAGTGGACAGGCAGCTAAAGCGAAGATCTGGAGATCTGTGGATGTGGATGATCTGCTGGCTTCACTGACCTCCTAAACTCCTCCTAAACTCCCACAGATTTACAGTAGTGCAGTGAAACATTTAACACTTACACCTTAGATAAAAAAAATTAATTCACATTTTTAAATTGATTTACATCTCTCACAACGAAACTAACAGGTATGCTTCATTTTCATTACTTTTTTTAATGTCACAATTTTCTGCACACACAGACAAATTAGTCCATCTCTATCCGCTCTAGATTCCCGAAGGAAACATCTGTAAAGCTGTAATTATAGCATTGCCATTATGTTTGAACGTGCAGTAGTTAAGGACACAGAATTAACTGCTGTGAAGGTTATAATATGAATCATTGCACTAATTCTAAAATGGTTTTATATAAACTTCATCATTAGATGAAATATAAATTAAATCTAAATTTACTCTTAAAGTACTTGCAAATGATGCATCCTCATTCATATTATGAAAAAACACCAGTGCATAGAACTTGGAAAAAAAAGCAAACTCTTAAGTGCCCTTTTCTCAAAAACATAAACAAGTGTCAACTGGGTTGAGCTTACTTCTACAGTACATCTAGTTCAGTTCATGCAGTGGACTTTTCAAACACATTAATAGACAAATAAACTATTAGTTTTTTTTTACTTCATTGCGCATCAAGTGTGTTGTGTTTTCCCCCATTACTGCTGATCCAAATGGCTTGCACAGAACCAGCAACAGAAACACCTTCACAGGGTTCCCCACTCATCCTGGAAAACCTGGAAAATAGTCAACCAGTTGAATATTCAACACTTCACATGCCAATATTATTAATTTGCTGAAATATTTTTCCAGGACAGTACAAGAACTTCCAGGACATTTTACTTTTCTCTCGATTTCCATGTGTTTTCCATGACTGGAAATTGGTTGACTATTTTCCAGGTTTTCCAGGACAAGTGGGAACCCTGCTTCAGGAGTGGCTCTTCCTGAAATGCAGCAGGACTCACCAAAGAACTCCCCATATCCCCTGGAAAAAGAGGGTTTCGCCCAGGAAGAAATAAGTGGGCAAGCAAGTCAAAGTCCAGGAGAATCCCCGACGTAAGCCCAAAGGATGGGGTGGGGGTAAGGGTGGGGTAGACGGAGCTTAAAAACATATCAAGCATTTCTTGACCATCTTTATACCTCATGGGCACCATTAATGACAGTTGCAGCAGCATACAATGAGATCACGTGAGAAATGACTCACCTTGTGACTATTTATAGTATAGCCATCATGTATACAGTAGTGCTAAGGGTCACCTATCAGTGAGATACTACAATGGCATTACCATTATTCCATCCATCCATTTGCTGAAACCATTTGCCCAGTATGGAGGGGGGGGGGCAGAGATCCTATCCAAGAGGCTACAGACACAAGGCAGGGAACAACCCAGGATGGGTGCCAACCCATCACAGGGCACACGCACACACCATTCACTGACACACACCTATAGGCAATTTGATGACCTTACTTAGCCTCAGCATGTTTTTGGATGGGGGGGGGGACCAGAGTACCCCAAGGAAACCCCACAACAACACAGGGAGAACATGCAAACTGCACACATATTGAATCCTGACAGAGACTCAAACCCAGGTCCCAGGAGTGTAAGGCTAATCACTGCACCACCATGCCACCCCTACCAATGTTATAAAAGCAAATTAAATTCAACTAAAAACATACAGGAATTGTTTCCTGGGGAAGGAAGACATTGAGTGCCGAAACTTTGGACTAACAGAGCAGAAAGTCACCCTAATTTGTACTGCTCCTAATGCACATTTCCCCAGAAGGTAAGATCATTTCAGCAGAAATCCAAAATCTAAAGAACTATTTCTGGCAAACGAACCAGCTGTTAGCAAACAGGTGTAATCTTCAATGAACGTGTGGCACAATAGTGGCAAAGCATCATCCTCTGTCAACAAAAGCACTCTGCCATGACAGGGCCTGATCATCAAGGCACTGTTGCTTGATTAACCAAGCGGAAGAGTCAGAAGAGTCAAGCAGAAGAACTCATTAAGACCCCGCTGTGGAAACCTGTTCTCCTGACAAAGATCTCCCACCAGCTCGAGCTATAAATAGAGACATTTTTTCTTGTCTTGATAGGAAAGCACAGCTCCAAGCATGGATTCACATAGCAGTGCACAATAAGCATTGTTTGGGAGTTACATACTCGACTCCCAGGAAAAATTTAAAAAAAGATGACGAATCGTGAACTCATTAGAACTCCAGGTGACGTGTTATGGCTAATAGAGTATTGAGGGATTTCTCTCTGTAGGACATGAAGAAAGTTCCAGTTCCATACAGACAATTCTGGGGAAGGAAAAAAAACATTCAGGTCTTAGTTTTTTGGGTATACTTGGGTTCCATCGTATATCATGTAACTTACATATTGAAATATACATTCAATATAATCCTTTAAAATCTAATTCTTTTCCCTCATTTGACCATAGATTCGTATTCTATGTCTATTTGTCTTTTTCGGCATTCTGGAAAAACCAGAAGAAATATTTTTGCAAGGAATTCTAAAAATTGCTAGAATTTACAGGGCAAATATAATGTATTTGTATTAGTAGTATGCGTTTTTTGTTCCGTTTTATACGTACACTCCGATCCAGCTAAATCTAGGTTCAAATGAAGGTTAGCCCAATACTTACAGTAAAAATTCAAATTAGAGAGTGCAAGTAAAACACATAAGAGAATAACTTTTAGTCCTGTCCACATGAGGTATGTGTATCTTGGAAGAGGTCACCACATGGACTACCAAAGCAAAAAAACGCCCAGAATTAGTATAGCAGCATGTGTGTGTAACTTGGCCATTTTTATAGTTAAGAGAAGACACACTTTAGGGGGGGATCATTGGATAGAACTGCCTGTTTTCATACATCTCCATTTAGGATTCACTTCTCTCAGTATCAATTTCAGAGGGGCAATTCCAGTCAGAATACCATCTACGGCCAGATGTGGCTGGTTCCCGAGTGCCACCTTTGGCAACTAGCATCAGAGGAGATGAAGACAAGTTTGGCCTTACTGGGACATCAATAAGCAGCTACACTTCTGCCCTATTTAGCAAAACACTGAAGAAAAACCTGTGTGCACTGACTGATCATCACACTGATGCCCATGGGACAGCACATGCGTGACAGTACACTAAAACCACAAGACAGAAAAGGTCTAAATACTAACATTTATTTAAGTGTACAATTTAGTGTTTCTTTTCCAACCTTTTCATACTGTTTAATGTTGATAACCTGGCTTCTTATTGCAGCACAATCGTCAGGAGAAAGCACAAGATTGTAAAATTCATACATACAACACTGTTAAAAACAGCATTTGTCACTACAGAGGTTTATGACAACGGGGCTTGTAACAGGCATCACCATCAATTAGTTGAGAACCAAAGCCTCTTGTAAGCATCTTGCAAACTGTTAATTTACTGTTATTGTACTGTAGCCTTTAGCATTAAACGCTATATGACAGTAAATTGCACATTTTTAAATTAATGACGGTAATTATATATTTTTCTCCCTTTACATGAACACTGACCTGATAGCTCTCTTCTGACACCTCGGTAAAAAGTGAATAAAAGATGTATGTGAGCAATCTTAAAATAAACACTGTGACTAAAGGAAAACAAGACTGGAAATTGATCTCAGGAGGCGTCTGGCCAGAGTAACATACACCCACACGCACACCGTTCGTGGCTGGTCGCTTTCGTGGTGACTTTTTAAACATGTCTGAGAATAATCAGTCCTGCGCCATTTTTCTTTGTGTGAATTTCGATTCTGGTTCGTGCAAAAATATAACAGCCTCAAAACTCTGCGGAAATTTACAGAGAAAACAATGGGGCTAAATATTCCAATAGCTGATTCTTAAGAAAATAATAAAGCTAAACTAATTTGAATAAGAAAAATTTAAGGTACAGAAAAGTACAGTATGAAAATAGTGTTATTTTGCATTAACTAGCAATTACAACATTAAAGATTTGTCGGTTTGTTCCTTTGATCTCCCTTTACTGTGGAAAGAACAAAACATCCAAAATCTACAAATCAAGAAAATTTGTCCCAATGTAAAATTGCACATGTTAATTGAAAAGAAACTTTACAGAAGATACATGACAAACCTTTACAGATTAAATGAGGTATTGCACAGATCAATAAAAAAAGCAACAAAAAAAAACAAACAAAAAAAAAACAAAAGGCAACAAAAATATACAGCAAAATTGATAGAACATTTACATAATTTGAATAAGATTTAGAAGGAACATTTTAGTGAATTATGTCAGGGTGTTGGGGCAGACTACTAATCATCCCATTCGTC